AAAGCTTAAATCCTAAACTATCAATTTCCTTAGCCTTCTCTCCAACCCATTTAAATTAATTTTTAATGCCCAAAAATTAAATAATTCCTATTATTAGAAATATAAAATAGGAAATAAATTAAAAACAATTTCATTTAAAAATAAAATAAATACTCAAAATTTTCTTAGATTTTTTGAAAATTTTTCAGAATTTTTTGAAGCAAAAAATAGTATTTTACTACTAAAGTGTTTAAGTAATTAAATTAATTTAATTTAATTTCTGCTATTTGGAAAAGAATGTATGCTATTAGTCATAAAATGGATCCCCTTATTAGTTGGGGTATAAATTCTGGTAATTCTTTTTTCTGGCAAGACATATGGTTGGGTAATGATTCTCTTGACAATCTTCTTTCTACTTCTTCTGTTTTTGCTGAGAAAGTGAATTAGTTTTTTAATAAGGAGGGTTGGAACAGAATGCTATTCTTAATTTGGTCCATGCCGAGATTGGTAATAAAATTAAAAATGTTAATTTAGATACTAATCAAGAGGTCCATATTTTATTCAAGCTGTCTTTCAATGGCTCTTTTATTTTTAAAAATGCTTGGAATTTTATTAGGGAGAAAGGTGAAGTTTCTGTTATTTTTGATAAAATTTGGAGTAACAATATCCCTACCTCTTATTCGGTTCTTGTTTGGAGAATTATTAGAAAATATATTCCTGTGGATAGTATTCTTTGGAGAAAAGGTTTTAATCTTCCTTCTATGTGCTTATGTTGTTTTCATATTGAAAGCATTAATCATGTGTTCATCAATGGGGCTATTGCTGCTAAGGTCTGGATTTGGTATGATAATTTTTTCAATACCAATTATTTTTCTGGGCATCTTTCTTTTAATCATTTTCTTACTGCTCTTTTTCATAATTGCAATAGAGGTCACATTAAAATTGTGATGGCTGTTACTATTATTTGGTTTATTTGGATGGATAGAAATGATACTAAGTATAGGAATATTGTTATTTTAAGGAATGCTGATGGAAATTTGGCTTGTTGTTTTGCTGGTCCTCTCTCTAGTTGTAGTGTTCCTTATGCTGAGCTAATGGCCTTGTATCAGGCTCTTAAAATTGCTCTTTCTAAAGGAATTTTAAGGGTTTGGATTGAAGAGGATGCCTTATTAGTTTTATATTTTCTTAATTATGATAATACTGGTAATGCTGAGAATTTTAATATTCTCATAGAGATTAAAGGTATGCTTTCTCAGATGGATTATGTGGTTTCTCATATTTGGAAAGAAGGTAATGCTTGTGCTGATTTTTTGGCTCGTTTGGGTACATGTTTAATTTCTTTAACTTGCTTTGATAATTCTAATATTCCTATTTTACTTAGAGGTTTGATCAGATTAGACAAATGTGGTTTACCTTATTTGAGAAAATGAGTTGGTGTTTAGCTGTAATTGGATATGGAACCCCTTTGGTGCTCAATTCTGGGGTCTGAACTGCTGGTATTTTAGGGTTTTTTTTTTCAATTATAAGCTTACCTTTTAAGTTAGGGGTATTTCTTTAGCTGATTTGTACTAATAATTTTAGTGCCTATAGAGTTGTTTTTGTTTTACAGGTAGAATTGAAAGTTGAAAAGATATGCTTTATGGAAGGGAATTTGGGTGCAGTTTTGTGAAGGGCTTTGGAAGAATAAAGATGTTGGTGTTGAGGATTTGTTAGCTATTGGTTTTCTTTCTGCTTTGTGGTTTGGTTTAGCTTTAGATTTTTTCTGTCCTTTTGTTTGTATTAGACTGAGACTTGTGCCTCATTAGATTTTCTTTTGTTTTTGTACTTTCTTTTTTATTTTTGATTGTATTTTCTTTTTTTGTAGATGAGCCTTTAGTCTCTTTAAGGACATGTTGTAAATGCTTTTTGGATAAATGCGTAAGCCCCACTGTGGGTTTCTATTGAAAAAAAAAAAAAATTAATTAATTTAAAAAAAAAATTGCCTCTTTAAGGCGACTATTGTAGACGCGTTCCTCAGATAGTTTTTAACATTATTTCTTAATAAAGTTATATATAAATATAGATTAATTTTTATTGCATATACTTTTTAATTTATTAATTAGTTAATTAAGTAATTATATTTATATATATATAGATTTTCTAAAGAAAGTATGATTTGAACATGTTTGGCATTTACGGAACCATTTTTCGATGTTCTAAACTCAATTTTGACACTTTTGAAGCTCAATAGAGCCTCTATATTAAGCTTTGAGCTATTTGAAAATTTTTGGAGTTAATTGTTTTTGATATATTTTGCTCCGATTAATAGTAAGACTTCGAAAAATACTAAAATGACAGATATATTTTTGGACTTCATAAGATTCAACAACCAAAAATATGGGGGCAATTGATATGTCACCAAAAATCATCTTGATCATTCACGAATCTTCAGGCGTATTTAAGTTGGAAACTTTATAAATTAAAGTTAGGATCATCTGAATTCCAATTTCAACAAACTTATAGTCAAACTGGACGTCTTAAAGAGACGAACCTAATAATACCAAAATTGGTACAACCAAAGCATAAATGGGTCCAAATTGTGTCCCGAACCATGTTTGGAAAGTTCAAAGCATTATTTGGATGAAAAATGATATCCATATATGACATTCTTATAGTCAAATCAAGCTGCTCGGTGAGCCGAATCCAACGAGCCCAAGATTGCTGAATTCCGATATCATTAAGGCACTTAAATAGTTGAAAAATTCTCCAAGATCGGAGAATCTATACGAGCCATCCGATGGAGCACTTCGAATCTGTCCTAAATCTTCTATATATTTACGAGATGTGCCACTCATGCAAATCTATAAATAGACCACCACTCTCTATATGAATGGGACCTTTGGCTAGATATTGGAGTGAGTTCCGAGGCTTCAAGAGCTCCAGCACTAGGGCTGCAAGCGAACAAAAAGTTCGACGAGCTACTCGTTCTTCGGTTCGATTAAACCTCGTTTGTGATCGTTTAATTAGCTAAACAAACAAACTTGAACAATATTTTAAATACTCGATTCTTAAATAAACAAACTTGAACACTAATGTGTTCGGCTCATTTATGTTCGCGAATAACATCATTTGAAGTTCGTGAACAAGCTCGACATTAAGCTCGATAAAAGCTTAATTCGTGTTCGATTTTGAACTCGTAAATAAGCTAGATAAAAATAATTAATATTTGACTATAAAATTAATAAATATAAATAATCATTGTCTTTGTTACATAGACAATTGCTTTTATTATAAATGTGTTTGTTCATAGATATGTTCATGAACGTATTTGTTTGATAGTTTAAAAAAATTCGTTAAATATGTTCACGAACAAGCTCGATAAGCACTAAACGAACGAACATGAAGTGAACATGAACCGAACATGAACAGTCATTAATTTAAATGAACCAAACATGAACACAAACAATAAAGCTCGAACATACATGAACCAAACATGAACAAGCTGATATTAAATAAACACAAACATGAACACTCACATACTCGGCTCGGCTCGGTTCCTTTACAGCCCTATCCAGCACCACTGCCAACGAACCCCCCATCAACTGCCGTCGTACCACTTCTCGGCCGTCGATCACCTCCAAACTTCTGCTCGGCCACCGTCGGACTTCAGCCTGACCATCGTAATACCACCGCCTGACCGTCGACAGATGCCAGGCCTCCACCCGACTGTCGACTGCCGCCGTGCTTCATCCTGACTATCATTGGACCACCGCTCGGCCGTGAATAGCCGCCAGACTTCCACCAGGCCGTCGACTGCGGCCGGAGTTCAGGCCGACCTTCTTCGGATCAACGCCCGACAGTCGACCGCCTCTGAACTTCCACCTTGCCACTAAGTTTCGTTGGACCTCTGCCCGACTTTCGTTAGATCATTCCCTGTCAGTTGAACTTCTACCTGAATGCTGTTTGACTTCTACCCGACCGTCGCCAGACATTTTACTAACTCTCCTAAACTACTATAATTTAACCGCCTCTAAGTCAAGGGACGAGTTAACCTTTGTGATTGACTCAAATTTAGAGGAATCTTTTCACCTATGTGAGGCCTTATGATTTTTCCCTCTTCGGATTTTCCACATAAAAAAGATCAAATATTTTACTTCTCCCTCTGTTTGTGTGTTGAATATCCATGCATAGTTAAGACAAAATTTATTCATTCCACCACCTAAAATATTCTAGCCCACAACAAAGCTGAAATATTTTTTGAATGCAGAGAAATATAGATCTCGCTGAAAAGTTAGATGCAGTTTAAATATGAGTTTTGTTTTTTAAGTTTGTGATAATACTAAAAAGCTTATTCAAATTCAAAGTATTTCATTAAAATATATTTAATTTATATTAAAAAAAACTAAACATAAAACTAAGACAAGCGGCCAGTTCACAATCGTCAAAAAAATAAAAAATGAACTCGTCAGTAATTATAAAATAAAATAAAAAATTAATATGACCCAGGGACCCATTGAACTGCAGACTGACTTTGCCATTGTAGTGCCAATCGCCGAGTGACTATAAATTTTTTTTTTTCAATAAGTATACAGATAATTTACCATAGCCCGCTCCGCGACCGCGTTCGGCGTGCCCGGGGGATAATAATTTTTTATTAGAATTCGGATCCTTGCTTCATGTGCACCCTAACGAAACCGCGTTCGCCCGCACCGCCTACATATATAACAGGCCAAAACCCAAAAAATCTTACCGTTCACATTTGCCAACTCGCATCTACACCCCGTCGATCTTCCATCCCTCTTCGTCTCTATCTTTTGTTTCTAGGCATCGCCTATTTTTAAATTCCATTACTTTGCGGAGAGAGAGTTTCGTTGTTTACCTAATCCGAAAATTGCGGGCCAATCACGTAGACCTCATATATGAAAACCCCACCGCGAGTATCCGCACCAACCAGTAACCCATCCTCTTTCCCTCCACTCATCGAAGACGATTTTTCCTATTATTACCCCTTCTTCCAGGACGTCATCCCGCCCGCCCTTCCTTCCTCGCCCGCTCTCCCTGAGATGCTTCCCCATCGCGGCTGCCGTCCACTCGCCGACGACGCCGATGAATCTGCCGGCAATCGCCGGAGGAGAAAGAAGCGCAACATCGCTCGGCTGATCACCTCCCTCGCTGCCCTCGACGCCCAGGAGGAATCCGATCGGAGGGAATTGGAAGACGACCTCTACCTCCTCCGTGCCAACCACGAGAAGAAGGCCGCCACGTTACTAGACTACTACTTCCGCTTCCAGGACCATTACTCTGATCTAGATGCCGATGATTCCCTCCGAACGACCAAAGACAGCACGGCGGCGTCTGCAGCCGCCGCCGCCGCCGCTGCTTTGGCCGATGCTGCCTATGTTGGTGATCCGGCGCCGCATCAGCATCAGCGACGGCTGTGGGTTAAGGATCGGTCGAGGGCGTGGTGGGAACGGTGCAGTCACCCTGACTTTCCAGAGGAAGAGTTCCGACGCGCGTTCCGGATGGGGCGGACCACGTTCGACATGATCTGCGAAGGTCTCGGTGCGGCGGTGGCCAAGGAGGACACGACGCTCCGCGCGGCGATCCCGGTGCGTCAGCGCGTTGCGGTCTGTATTTGGCGGCTGGCCACAGGAGAACCGCTTCGGCTTGTTTCAAAGCGATTCGGCCTTGGCATCTCCACTTGCCACAAACTGGTCCTTGAGGTTTGCTCTGCCATTCGCTCCGTTCTTATGCCGCGATACCTTCGGTGGCCGGATTTGGCATCCGCCGCCGCCATCAAGGCCCGATTCGAGGCCGTCTCCGGTATCCCCAACGTTCTGGGATCGATGTACACCACCCACATCCCTATCATTGCCCCTAAAATAAGCGTCGCCGCATACTACAACCGCCGTCACACGGAGCGCAACCAGAAGACTTCCTACTCCATCACTGTACAGGGAGTGGTCGATCCTGACGGCGTATTCACCGACGTCTGCATCGGCTGGCCGGGTTCCATGCCTGACGACCAGGTGCTCGAGAAGTCGGCGCTCTATCACCGCGCCGAGGAGAAAGGGATGCTCAGGAACGCGTGGATTGTGGGAAGCTCCGGCCATCCATTGCTCGATTGGGTTCTTGTGCCCTACACACAGCAGAATCTCACGTGGACCAAGCATGCCTTTAATGAGAAGATTGGGGAAGTGCAGCGGATTGCCCGCGAGGCGTTTGCTAGATTGAAGGGTCGGTGGAGCTGTCTGCAAAAGCGGACGGAAGTGAAGCTGCAAGACCTGCCGGTAGTTCTCGGCGCCTGTTGCGTCCTTCATAATATATGTGAGATGAGTAAGGAGGAAATGTACCACGAATTCAATTATGAGCTTGTGGATGATGAGATGGTGCCAGACAACGGTATCCGTTCAGAGAGTTCGATGCAAGCCCGAGACAACATCGCCCACAATTTGCTTCACCAAGGGCTCGGTGGCACCACTTTCTTCTAGGTTAGCAAACTCGAAATGCAATCCTAGATTTTTCTTGTTTAGTATGAAATTACTGTACCAAGTAGGAACCTAGCTGTTTCCGATGTTGCGAATGATAGTTTCTGAAAAAATTGTATAGATTTATAGAAATATTGATTAGAGAGATGTAAGTATGTTGATCGAGATTTTTGCAGGTTTTTGTTTACCCTTATTTATTGCTTCTTGTAAGTTTTGAATACTGTCTTACTTAAAGAATACGAGGTTCTTTGGCTCTCTTTTTAATTTTTTGTCAAGTTTCATTGTTCAAATTATGTATTTTGTATTTGATTCTTCCATTTGTACAAGATGAAAAATTTACAAGGTTAGTTTTGTTGGATTGATTGGCTGGAAACTGCATATTACCATCTTGAGTTTTTATAATTCGAAGTATTGTCTTTTTGCTAGTCTTACGTAATTTGGATTTCTTAACAAGCTTATCAGTTATGGTAATATTACTGTGATTGGCAATACAATCCATGATTGCTAATGAGGTGAAGTTTGTAAACCTATCTCTTAGCTTGATTGATTGTGCAGTGACATCAAACAAAGGAAGTCAATGATCCATATATGGAATTACAGAGATTACATAAATAGTGATAGTGGTGTTTTAAAAGTTCTTATGTTGTTTTGAGATGATAGAGATATCAAAGAAGTTGGGATGTCCAACATGATTGTGCATGAGAGGAGCCGCTGTAGTCCTGGAAAGTTGAACAATGTTAAGTTACAGTGGCCAGTGAAGCGGAATGTCATATAAGTCATTAGAAGTGTGACCTTGGAGAATAATATTGTTGAACTTTAGATCCTTGATGGTGTACCCCGAATACATCAATTGTTGCAGTTATGAGTTTATGTACTGAAAGAAGATTGTGAAAAGTTTTGGTGTAAGAAGTTTTGAAAGAAGAAGCTTACGATAAGGGGTTTGAAGGGTGCTATGCCTTATATTGGAGATGTGTATAGTGTTGTCGTTGCAAACAAGCACTTGTTCGATTCCTGAGAGCAGCCGTTGTCGACCCTTAATGGAATTACACAGATTTCAGAAATAGTGATAGTGAGGTTTTAAAAGATCTTTTTTTTTTTTTTTTTTT